TTAGCTTTCACTTTTAAAGAAAAATAATTTCAAGATATTTTCTTGAACTTCTTTTGATTTAGAAACGAAAAACGCTATCATATATCATAGATATTTAATAGAAAGTAAGCGTATCCAAAAACATTTCGCAGTTTTCAAAAATAATCAATATGTACAACTGATATAATACATATTTAATGAAATAGCTCCTAAAATGCTAAATTTTTGCACATTTTCTCCGTGGTGAAATAACAATCTGATTTATGCATGAATAATTTTAATCTCTAACTTTGCTTGAAATAACGAAGTTTATTTTAAATTTTATCTACAATAATTAACTGTAAAATCATTACTTTTCTATTCATAATCAATACAACTTATTTTATAGGTGGAGTCAGTGATGGTAATATTTCTAAAACTTTTTTTAATTTGCATTTTAAAAAAAATATTTTATTTCATAACGTTATCCAAATAATAGTTATAATATTTCACTTACTGTAAAATCATTACAATTCATATAATTCCAAAATAATATATGAGTTGCACTTAGAAATTATAATGTACATATTTTAAACTTGAATTTTGTTTATTGGTACATTAGTTGTAACTTTCAAATAAATTAAATAACCAGATAAAAGTGGAAATTTCAATTACCTCTTTCTTATTTAGTATGAAAAAGGTATCTGAAGTTTCGTCTTTTTACATGCATTTTTCAGGTCATGAAGGTCAGAAAGCTATCGCATTGGTCTTCTGACGTTTTTTTTTTAAAACTAGCTGAATATCCGTTTTTTGCACGGAGTGAAAAAAGTAAATAATCTATAAATCTACATTAATCAGCACACCAAAATGATGCACTAAACTGAAAGATATCCTTCGACCCAGATATTTTCATATCGGTCAACATTGACTCATATCGTCAATAAAATGAACATGCTCAGAAGTTATTCATGTAAATTTCGTGGCCGATCCGTCTCATCGTTCCATCAAACGAAGAGATACAGTGTTTGAATCAAAAAATAGTCATGGATATGTAAAGGAAAATAAATAAATTTGATTATGCATGATCATGCGCTTAATGTAAGAAAATTGCTTGTCTCTTGTCAAACTGCAGAAAAGATAGTATAAAAATAAGAACAGCACAAAAATATTAAACCCACTATCTTCACGCTTTTTAGCGTTTGGTAGAAGGTCAAAGCCTCGAGCCTATGACGATGGGTTTATATGGGTTATGGGCTAATATATGGGTTTTTTTTCTAGAGCCACACCGCGGATTATTGACATTCCACTAACCGTTCAGAAGCGCTTATGTAGTGGAATCGAATTCCGCTTTGGCATTTGTTGCATATTCTCTCCGTCTTTCATAAAAATTGTGCTATCTCTTTTTAAACTGGAAAGAGTACCTAAATCGTTGTTTGTATTTACAGAAAAGCCTTATATGCTCGAAAATAAATAAATAAATCCCACTTACTCTGACCGAGTCACTATAGTATAATGTATCTGAGTTTAGTATCTTTAATGCAATTTAAACAATTGAAGCCATCATTCTTGATCCTTTACCCCTCGTTATAATTGTGAAATTATATTAGAATAAGAAATATTTAACAGTCACCTAGCTCCGTTGAACCATTTAAATAAATTTGCCATTTTAAATAAACAATAGAAGTGTAAACAAATTATCACCCTACTGCTTTGTAAGAGACAAAGATATCAAAAGGTTTAAATAATCAAATAAATCTCAAAATGATAGACAGATAAGTTTGGTAATTTTATGGTGATACTTTATACTGCTCGTTATACTTTATCTTGATATTACTGGTATATAGACCATTTATTTGGTTACTTTTACTATTAAGATTCGTTTTTGTTACTAAATGTATTGTAACAAGAGCAATCATTTTAGAAAGCAGAATTTCCAGTAAACAGTAACAACAACGAACGCTGAAATTACCATATGAATTGTACTTTGGATTAACTTTTGGAAATGTGGTTTCTTTCACTAGAAATGTTTTTACCATCCAAGTACGGGGATTTTTCCAGAATTTTCTCCTCCGTGTACGACAGTTTAAGTTAATCACTTTGAATAATGTACTGAAAGGAATTCTATTTGCTTACGCTTAAGTTCCCACTTCCCATGTCCAAATATTTTCATTATTCTATTAAGATCTATTAGTGAACAAAAATAATTTTCAAAAGTAGTCATTGTCTAAAATTAAAATTATATTGTTATAATATATTTGTAAGTTCACAACCGTCTGTTAATATGTTTACTTACCAAACGGTCAGTTATTTTAAATACAAATTTTGCATGCATCATATTGTGCACGAAGCTGATCGTTAAATTCTAAATCATTTAACAAACATCTTTAACTGTAATTTGTAATAGTATATTAATGTAATTTGTACAAAAATAATTGTAAAATGGTTAATAAGTTCAGGCACCAATTTAAATTATTTTATTTTAAAATGCAATGTGGAAATCACTTTAAAAATAAAAAAATAATTCTTTTTGTTTAAAACTCTTAATTTAGCAAATAATGTTAATAAAAAACGTAATATTAACAAAATAGGTTAATAATACAGGTTATTAATAAAAATATGTTTAAATTATAAGGCTCTAAATTAGGGATACAAAAAACTTTATAAGAAATCAATACCTTCATGACATTAATTACTTCAAGACTGAGACCATTATGTATTTTAAAGACAAATAAATTCTTATTAAAAATGTTCAGTGATTTTTTTTTAATATTTGAAGTTAAATAATGAAATGAATGAAGTAAAAATATTGCCGTTTTCAAACAACTAAAAAATAAACATTTGTAACTAATTTTCAACATCAGAGTTTTTATGAGAAAATTTCTCGAACTGCAAAATTCAATTATTGCTTAAGTTAGCCAGTTGCACACACATCACATCACAACCATTAAATATATGTACTCTAACTTTCGTGTGATTCGGTATAGAAATATAAGAATATATGAGGATCTAACCGATAAACAATAGGGACAAATGAAACATCGAGTTTTATATAACTACTTAAGATTCCTTCTCTTGTTTTGTTTTTAAGAGTGTATAAAGAAACTGTTAACTATTTTTGTAATATTATTTCTTATTTTGTAGGCATTCATGGAAAACGTGGAAAGAAAGGATACGTACATGACCGTAGCAATGGCAAAAAGAACGGCGGTGGTCTTCTTGGTGGTCTTCTAGGCGGTTAAGAAAATATGACCTAAACTATAGGTGAATAATTTTATCTATTACAATATGTAATAAGAGTTGTCAATTAAATTTTTTTTAAATATTCAGTTCAAACCTTGAAAAGTAAGTTTCCATTTAATTTTTAAAACAAGTAACTGTGTTTAACGTTTCCGTAATAATATTGTGTAGAAACAAAATGAAATTTTCGGCAATTAATAATATTTGACATCCTCCCCACTTAGTGATGACTGTTTCTTTCCAAACTTACATTTATCATCTCTTATGTAGATAAATTATTACATTTAAATCTATAATGTTATTGTTATATTTAATACATCATTAAATGTATTTAAATAATTTAAAATGCCATATATTTCGAATAATGATGAATGATATTTTTTTAAATGAATTCTTGATATCAACAGAAGACATATTGTCACTGCACTCTTCAATTGGTGACGCTGGACTATTAGAATATGAAACAATTATTAACGCGTAAATGGAAAAGCACCCGCAGAGCTTCATTATTTCTTGACGTTTTATTTTTATGGAACTATGCTTGTTCTAAACGGTTCTAAAACCGTAAAGGTAAAAAAAAAATCCTAAACATAAACTTTATAATTAACTGAATAGACTGCTGCCAGCTATTTTATCGTAATTTTAGAATAAAACTTCTAACAGTGTATTCGCATGACCACTTGATTGTGTATTAACGTAGAATAAAGTATTCATTATTTAAACACCAAATTTGGATATACATTGCATCCCAGTTTTTAGAACGTAGGGAACTTTTTTAAAATTGCAACATTACACTGGAGAAAAGAAAAAAAGTTTTGGAAAACACTGGAGAAAAAATGAGTTCAGGCAAACTTATAGTAAACCATGAAGGCTCAATTGATGAAAAAATTTTCAATATATAAAAATTCAAATAAATTATTGGACGAGTATTTCTCCATTGCGCAATTTGGTTTCATTTTGATATTTAAAAAATTTCTTTTCATGTTGGAAACTGCACAGCTTACTCCAGGTTCATCTTAATTCATTTTTTGTAGACTTGTTATTTTGAATTAGGTATTAAATTAAGAAAATTTTTAACTAAAAGTTTCTTCCATGGTGTGGCATCCTATTAAGTAATTTTTAACTCTTTGTTTATATTTCAAATTATAAATACTTTCAAAATAGTGTTTCTTATGTTGGTTCAATACAACAAATCATTTTCTAATTGGGAATAAAAGAATTAAACTAATTACAATGTGTTATTTAAAATAAATAAATAAATTTTAAAAAATTCATTATTAATTTTTAAGTAATTACTTTTTGTTTATATAATACTAGTTATCTTTAATGTCTGTAACATTGTTTTACTTTTTTTTTTCAGAGAGAAAATAATAAAACATGGATCATAAATATGGACTTGGATTAATTTACACTATGTATGAATACAGCTAATATTTCTTGGGAAAAAAATTTAACAAAATTTTGTACTTAACCATACTTAAATATCAATAAATATATATTATCTGCAAGCATTTATATGAGTATATTTTTATTGACTGATATAAATAAATTCATGTCGTGAAAAATACATAAGCTATCGAAGTTGACAATACAGAATCTGCGCCTATCCTTAATAATAAAAACAAAGTTTAAAAATGTATGTCGCAAACGAATTTAATAAGAATTATTATCAAGAATTTCAAAAATATAACATTTTAAATTTTAAAAAAAATCTTTAAAAATGTTTCAATATGATGTACTCTTATGCAATATCGTGTATATTTTAAATTTAATTTGCGTTTATTAGCAAAATAAAGAAGTGTATAAACATTTTTATTACTCTTTTTATTGCATTTTTCAGAAACACTTTGGATATTCCAAGAAAATTAAAGCAATAATTATTTACATTAAATTTCTTATTTTTTTACAATCGACAATACAATTTTTTGACAATACAATACGACCACGAGCAATAATTAAAATAGTTTAATGTAATAAGAAAAGCAATTAATATAAAAACGTGAACCCAACGAGTAGGTCAAGAAATAATGAATAATAAATATGAAAAAATAGGAATGATTTTAGCTTAAATAGTTGTGTAAAAATACGCCTTTCAGTTTTGTGGATGATTTTGTGGTGCTGATGAACTATGATTTAGTAAGAACTTATTCACTCTGTACGAAGAGCAGGTCTTCAGTTAGTCAGTAGCAAGTGAAGGTCTTATACTCTCCTCCAATTTTTTGGGGCTATATGAGTCTAAGAGGATGAAAACATTATCCCTACCCGATGGGTATACGAGGGCACTGATGAAATTCAAGTGCTTGGCTGCGAAAGAGTTGAGAAAGTGGGACGGAATCCATCCTAGTTTAGTGAACGATAGGTTCGAGCGTGAGTCTCCTAAGCGAAAGCTACCGAGCGGTGCTAGAAGACAGACCTCTCCCAGGCCACAAGGAGATCATCCTATGTGCGACTGAAGAAACCGAAAGACCGTACAGTCCCCCGCCTTAAAACGTTCGATTGAAAAATCTCAAAAGCAAAATACAAACAATTAGCGGCAGAAACAAATCTTAATACAGAATAACAAAAGCAGTAAGATTTTGTTATGAAATCTGAAATGATGAATCTCACAAATAACTTTAAAATAGTTTTAAAATTAAACAAAAGTATTTAGAGTGGTCGCATCGCTAACATGATCAGATGAAAGCATAGAAAATATTAATGTCAGATATTTCATCATCTGGACTAAGTCTGAAAATCTGGCAATATAATCTTGAAATTGACTTAATGAATAGTTTCAGACTAATTCTCTGTAATCTGCTTTTTAATGCATGCTTAAAGATGGAGTCTGCATTTTATTCGCACGAAAGTGTTTCGACTGGATGTCATCGAATGTTGGGTAAAAGCTTTTTAAATGAAGCACATCTTCTCCAATATAGCAATTTGGACACTGCAGAGTTTCTTTTTCTTAACATTCGATTTTGATAGAACTTGCGAATGCCGTGGTTTGCGAGGATCTGGTTTATAATGAAGTTTCCTTCTAATCTATTTAGGTTTACGTTTTGGATGAAAGTATGTAAGTGGTGACATTTTGCTCGCTTGCCAGGCCCCCATTTTTGCATCTTCTTTGACAAGGAGCAATGGCAAAATATATTAAATCATTTCTAATTAGTAGTTTAGTATTTTTGTATGTCGTTATGATAATCGGCATTTTTGTCACTTCTTTGGCCTGAGCGTCAGCTCTTCCGTTTTCTACATAACTCACATGTGCTATAAACCAGTTCACTTTTATGCCCATTTTGTGAACCCTCTTGATATTCTTGTCAATGCCGTCTGTGAAATTTGGGTGTGATAAGTCCAGTAGTGCCGAGCGAGAGTCCGAGTACAGGTTCAATTCCTAATAATTTTTCTTTGCGGCCCAAATCAAAGCACCGAGGGAGATTCGCTTGATAGACTGTGTTATCATCAGCTAGTCTTTCCTTCTTCTGAAAATACCTCTTCTCCTTTCATAATTATCACAAAGCACATCAGGTATTTTTAGCATCTTAGATATCTAACTTGCTAGCGTCTGCTTAGATTTCACGCTTAGATTTCTTGCGAGCGTCTGTTAGGTTCCATTCAATGTTTAGCTTGTCTGCAGGATGTGTCCATTCGTATTTCGAAACATCCAGTTCGTAATCTCTTTCAAAGGCCTTGGCATAACCTCTAAGGTTGTTAACTCTATCCACTGAATCGATTCTGTATGTTTCAGAATTGCAATCAGAGACAGTCTTTGTATTTCTTTTAGCTCAACTCTTTGTTTAGTGGCCCCGCTGAACCAAATCCTAAGCATCCCTATTAAAGTGGTAGAAGATTCTTCTAGCTATCAGTACCAAGATATCATCTCCATGCAAAATAATTCTCGTAAGCGATCATTTCCCAGAAAGCATGAAACCTTACGACAACCTTGCTTCGGAATTTTCTCTCTATTGTTAAGAAAATGTTTGCACTTAACATTTTATCAATAAAGCGAAAATACTGCAATTTCAAACCTTCCATCTTAAATGGATTAAAAATGATTTTTAAAGCTTTTTTGAAAAATATTATTGCTTGGAAAAAGAGCGAATGGTTAACCTTGGTGCAGTATTTTTATCATAGTTTTCATGATAAGGTAAACAAAAATACTAAGTTAAAAGCTTTTTCCGAGCAAGCGAAATAATATCAGTGCAATATCTTTTCGGAAAAATATTAATGAACAATAAAAAGAATCTTATGCAAAATCCCTCATTCAAAGAAGAGCCAATAAATGAACATAGTACCTATTTTTTTAATGGACATATTACTTAATTCTTTTAATCAAAATAATACACAATTATCCTGCGAAACTACTCTTTAAAACATTCTTTTAAGGCTTTCTCAGAATTACCGAATGCAGTAAAAAGTAAGGTATAGATTTCTTCGATGAGCTTTTTTATACTGGATACAACTCAAAATGCATGTTTATGAAAATAGACTAAGATAAACAGTGTTTTTAAAAAAAATGGACATAGCATTTGATCTCTCATGAAAATTCTTCCCTTTCTAAAGAATAAATTTATGAATCAAAATAAATTCGTAATATGATATCGTCCGTTTTCCCAAATCAGTTTTTCATAGCTGTTATAGATCCAATGTTAATATCGGAATTAAAATTTTCGTTGTAAGAATTTAGATTTTTAAAATTCAAATAGATTCCCTAACAAATCAACTATCATTTGCACAACCTTTGAGTACGGGACTTAACCCCATAATGATTATGATTTTATTGTTTAAATAAGTATGGAAAAGTAAGCATTTATAGCAGCGTCTATTTTCTTAAACAAGAATTATGAGATGTTTTCATTTTCTTAAACACGTATTTCGAGCTTTGTTTGAATAAAACGCTTACCGTTGATTTTCTTGTTCGTTGGTGAAAATGCTGCATATTGCTTGGCACGATTTTTTCGCCCGCCAACTCAAAAGATTCAGTTTTATGTTAGTTTTTTAACAGGCACAATTACTGGTATTTATTCTTATTCTGTTGCAGTTAAACAAAAGTTTTTCAGTTTAAGACCACTGCCCTTATTGATTGTTTAGAAGCTTTAAATTGGCAAAAAGGTACCTTAAAAAGGAAAATAACAAATCTATTAAGATTGTTGAGCTAAATGAATATGGAAAAATGCTGAAATATAAAAAAGCTCGAAGTTTCAAATTTTGCCTATCGACAAGGACATTGAAGAAAAATTTCCGAATTTGTTGATAAGATTTAGAATTTTTCTTAATGATTTAATAAATGCTTGAAACGGGAAAATAAAATTAATTTTAATAATATAAATAATAGTGGTAGTGGTAATTTAATTAAAGTAACTATTCCACAGTTAAAGCTTCCTGATGTACCATTAACTTAATTTGAAGTCAAATATGAGCTAAATAATTAAAACATATAATTTGAATTTTTAATTGCTAGTAAGGAAATATTATGGGATGTTTGAAAATTATAGTATTTAACTACAGCTTTCTAATATCGAAAACTTTTAACTCCAAATTTTTGATTTTAATAATAAACTAAGAATAAATAATTGCAATAATTAATAATAATAATTAATTATACTAATAATAATTATTAATTATAATAACTAATAATGATTATTATTAATAATAATAATTAATTATAATAATTAATAATAAAAATAAATAATAATTGATAATAATAAAAGCAAGAGTTTGTGAATGATCCAGAAATTCAACTCATGTCAATTTACTTTCTCAGGTGTATAGGATAATAACGAGAACTTTTGAACCTCTTAATCATCATCATCTATTTCATCATCATAATCATCTATTCTCGTTATCATCATCATTAGCTATTAGCTGTGTGTCTATGTGTGCGTCTCTCTTAATAACTCCAAAAAAATGTAGCAACTGTCCTGAAATTTAGACAATTATTGCAAGAGACTATTTTAGTTACTCTGATAAAAAAATTTACTCATTGAAATCATTTAAAAAATAATCATAAAAATACTAATATAAAATCGAAATATAAAAATATCAAAAAAATCCTATGCTACTTTCTAAAGAATATATTTTTACGTAATTTAAAATTAAGAACAGCTTATTTCGTTGTATAGATCATGAGAAAAACGTTCGTCTTGTTCAAAAACAGAGTTTTGAGAAAAACGCTTTTAAAGTTTTGACTAGGGGAAAACGTTTAATTTCATATATATAATGGTCGATAAATAAGATGCCTACAATAAGTTTCTATATACAGTCAACAGAAAGGATGAGACACAAAAAGAATGTCGCCCCTCCTAATCCGGCCGAACGGGCCTTTCTACCTGCTTAGCGATGACTCTCCATTTTTAGGTATAACTTCCAAACGAAGTTAGGTACCGAGAAATCAGACATTCGCAAGGGTACAAAAATTCGAAAAATGCAATAATTTTTTTTCTCAAATTTCTGAAATATTCTGGGTGGGGTCCCCCCTTAACAAAAAATGTGTATGCTCAAGGTTGCAAAAAATTCCATTTTAATAGTCATCTAACTTAAAACTGTTCTAGATTTGCTTTAAACTAGCTATTCTTTGGAAAACAGCATTTTGAAGGATTCAAACAATAAAAGTTGAATTTTTTTTTGTATCTCTTTCCATAAAGTGACTATATGGCTCTGTCGTTATAAATTATATCATTAATGATAGTTATATGATACAGTTTCAACCAACAGCAAACATTTAAATTGCTTTCTATCTAGTATTGAATTAAAGTTACTACGTTATGGATCAAAAGTTAGTGTTTGCAATCCTATTAAATCAAAATTTGAAAGAAAAATGTACAACAGATCAAACTAGAAGATGTGAAAGAAAACTAATAATTCTGTAATATCGGCTACATTCCTGAATTTTACAAACAAGTAGTTAATAGTGAAGTGTATTAATGATTAGTATGACGTCTTAAGTGCTCAATTTTAGCCTAATATATAAAGAAAGCTATTGCAGTGAAACGTTCTGATCTGCACTCGAAGCATCAACACACAGAGGAAGGAGCCCACAAAAAAAACAAGAATGAAGTGCGTTGCCTTATTTATTGTTCTTGCTGTTGTGATGGCAGGTAAATATTAACTATTTACAATTCAAAAAATAAAATGGAGAGTTTGTATGTGCATATGGCTGAGTGTCTCTCTTATAACTCCAACATAAATTGAACTATCAATCTGTAACTTGGATACCTGCAAGGAGAATTCTTGAACGCAAGTTCGAAATACATAATTATCATTAACCATTGTTTTAATTAAACTATGGACATTTTTTCACCCTTTTTTTTAAATATTTTTAAGATAACATTATTGATGATAACTTTAATGCCGATGTAAATTTCAGTTTTCTTACATGATTTTATACTCGGACTTTCACTTTTTCTCTTTTTCTTTGTGCTTGACCCAGGGATTTCATTTGCAATTTCATTTGCACAAATATAAATTTTGAAAACATTATTCTGCAGACAAATAATTCAATAACAGATTCTGAGTTATTTTTAACTATGTTTTGCCCTAAAATTAAAACTGCTGGTTCATCAGAGTCTAACTGACAAATATCTACATCTTCCTAATCTGGAACAAAAAATTTTCTAACAAGAACATTGTTTGTTGCATGTTATGCAGCTTTTAGACAAGATGTTAATTTGCAAATGAGACAGGAAAGGATATAAATTTTTTAATTGTTCAGCAACAGCAAATGTATCGTGGAAATATAATGAGTGAAATGAGAAAGGAGAAATTATCAATGACAAGAATCAATTCAGTATCGTTGCTAAGAGTATATTGGGAAACTTCTTTGAAGCGAAATTCCAACTCTGTCATAGTCAAATAATACAAAAAAATTAAAAACTATAAAACTTACGGAAAACCATTGCCTTATTAAAAGAATAATATATATTTATATACATACACCGAAGCGCCATTACATTATGACTACTCTCCAACTACAACAATGGGATCGCCCAGGTTTTCATGGTTTCTCTCTCAGGAACAATGTTTTCATGGGGCACATTAGGACCCATAATCCTCATAGAGCAAACCCTGACGTCTGTAAGCTACTTGAACATAGTTGCAGACCAGGTTCACCCATTCATGGTAACAGTTTTTCCTGCGGGGGATGGTGTATACCAACAGAATAATGCACCATGTCATAAGGGTCGAATCGCCATGGATTCACTTCGAGGAACATTCCAGTGACTTTCAAGTCATGTCTTGGACCAGAAATTCACCTGACCTTAATCCAATAGAGCATTTGTGGTCTTACTTGGAAAACCAAATTCGTGCTTCCACGCTACACCCTCGCAATGTGAGGGAATTGCAGGACCAGTTGGTTAGCGCTTGGTACCAGATACCTCAGACTACCTATCCCCACATTTTGGAATCAATGCCATGGTGGGTGCCAGCAGATTTGAGGGCTAAAGGTGGTCCTACATGATATTAGCAGGGTGGTCATAATGTAATGACTCTTCGGTGTATAGATATAGATATTAAAGCGATCATTTGTATATTCCATATGAATATTTGTATAATAGCTAATAACTCGCACGATTATACATATATTCATCTAAAATAGCACAGATTAGGATCCTGCTTTTTTCTGCAGCTAGAAAATTTATATGGGGTGGTTTGTAAGCAATCGACAATTTCAGGCGTCGTTTAGTTAGGGCCTTACATGTAAAATTCAAAATGCGGTTGGTCAAACCTATCGTTAAGTATTCATTCCTTATTATCCATGGAATTTTTCTTAATCCAGGTGGTTTAAGCCATTGAATAATTACAATGTTTGTTATGCCGATGATCATTATTTTTAAATTCTCGACCAAAGTAGTCATATTTATGAAGATACTTCCGGATGTAAATTTCATAAACAAACTCAGCTCATTTCAAACTTTTTTCAACTCTAAGCTTTCATGTCAACAAGGATTTTGAAAGCAACGAA